GCAAAGCAAACAACAATGATTAAGAAAGAGATGGTGAGTATTATAATGCAAAGCTGAACGATGTTAGGCAAGACCACACACGACGTTGAGTGGGCAAACGTGCGTGGTCGGCGTTAGACGAGCGAGGTCGGAACCAACGATGATGTCGCAGCAGAGTTGGTGACCACACACGACGCGTTGAAAGGGCGACGTGTGTGGTTGGCACTGGAGCAAGTAGCGGCGTCGGTGCTGGTCAGTTGTGACCAGCAATGGCAGTAGGGCCACGGAGGAGTCCGGTGTTGGCTTGACAACGTTGTCACGACACCGATAGTAGCCGAGGCTGTAGCTGCCAACGGTGTGCAAGATGACGCTAGACAGACGAAGCAGGAGCTTGGTCGAAGTTGGGACAGGCTGATGGCTGGGTTGCGACGCTAGGACAAGTCGGTGACGGGTCTATGATGTCTGTGGCAGTCGGAGTTGGGTCTTCAGTGACGACGGCGGCAACGGAGCCTGGAGTCGCGATGAAGGTCAGTGCGCTAGCGGACCCATGTGGTTTGTTGAAGAAGAAGAGCACGGCGGTGGCCTCTGGCAGTGCAGAAACGAAGCCTTCTTGGAGAGGAAGAAACTTGGCCTCTCGGTCTAGAGAGAGAGAACGCCGCAACGGCTATGCTAGAAAGAGAATGAAGAGCCACAGAATAGGGTTTTGGCCATTTTCGTTAAATAGAAAAAAAAGAGAGGCATCATGCTTGGTATATTCCATCACATATTCCTTCATACATATCTATACATAACGGCCTGCTGACTCCACTTGTTTGGCATGTCATATTTGTTCAGAGAATAAAAAATATGGGTGCTTTGTTATTATTTGCTTGGATTGAAAATATATATATGAATATGTGTATTTTTCTCAGACGTTATAAAATATATATATTTCAGTAGGACAAAAAAAAAAAAAAAAAATTGCTTGTCAATTTTATTCGTAAATTACGGTGCGTCATCAACTTTATCCATAGGCTTTGTTGAGACAACATTTTTTTTTTTTTGGGATGTGATGCGAAGCAGGGCTGAAGAAATGACAATATGCGTGTCGGAAAAATTTTTTAAAAAAATTCCTCATACACGCAAGGGGACCGATAGCCCAATAGCCCAAGAGGAGCTAATTTGAGTCTGCTAAATTAATTAGGCCCAATAGTCCAAGATTAGTGGGCCCGAATTTATCGCAAGTCCAAGATTGGTGGGCCCGGATTTATCGCCATCAAACGGGCTGAATCGCTCTAAGCCTCGAAAGGTTTTTTTTTGGGACGTGATGCGAAGCAGGGCTGAAGAAATGACAATATGCGTGTCGGAAAATTTTTTTTAAAAAATTCCTCATACACGCAAGGGGACCGATAGCCCAATAGCCCAAGAGGAGCTAATTTGAGTCTGCTAAATTAAGTAGGCCCAATAGTCCAAGATTAGTGGGCCCGAATTTATCGCAAGTCCAAGATTGGTGGGCCCGGATTTATCGCCATCAAACGGGCTGAATCGCTCTAAGCCTCGAAAGGGTTCGAATCTACGAACTTAGAGACTTACTCGGACCCGGACTCGAAAGGGTATTGAGCTATCCTAGAGACCCGAGGCACTCGGACTTGAAAGGATTCAGATCCACGAATCTAGAGATCAGAAGCACTTGGCTTCGAATGGATTCAAACACAATCTAGAAGCCGCTCCGTTAATGAGTCCCAGAACACTTGCGAGCTCGGAGCTTTCCGGGATCTGCGCACCAGAACCATGGGCGTAATGATTCGAACAAAGGACCCGATCCCGAGGACGGTGAGTGGAGATAAATTCACTCGGTTAAACTAGTCTATACCCAGGTCGAGGTGGCACGACTCCGGGGGGTCCATGAGACTCGGCAATATTTAGCGGCGGAACGTCCTCTGGGACTACCCCTGACCCTTTGGGATGATTGGGGATCATTGGTTAGGTGTGGCTAAGAAGAAGGGTTCGCCGAGGGGTTAATCTCTTCTTCGGGGTTTTTCTCATCCTCGGAGAGGTCACCTCCTCGGACAAGGTGGTTAGAGAGAATATTTCTCATGTGCCTTGCACATGGGCTCCATCCTACATCATGAGGTGTCTATAAATAGCACCCACCCATAGCTTTACAAGGGAGGGATTTTGGAGAATTAATTCTTGGGAAAGAACTAATTTCCCTTCTCCATTATCAACCTTGAGAGTGAAAGTGGGAGATCCATGGGAGAGCCTTGCCATTATTCTCTCTCTCTAGCCATTTTGCCTTCTTCTTCACCCAATCTCTTATCTCCATCATCTCCTTTACGCTTGTGTTCTTGAGTTGAGACCAAGGTTTTAAAAAGCGGCCGCAACTGTTACGTAACGCCGTTACGTAACAGTTTTGGCAGTTACCGCCATCCGTTACGGCCGCTTTTGCAGTGTGATTGAGATTCACAGGTATGTCGGCCGTAGCGGTCATAACGGTGCCATAACAGCCGTAACGGCCTATTACGCACTATTACATAACGGTTCCAAACTGTTTTTTTGGAAAAAATATACAAAAAAAAGCTAAAAATTGGGGAAGAGGAATAGAGTGAAGAGGGAAGATAAAGAGAGAAAATGGGGGAGCAAGAGATAGAGAGAAAGAGAAGAGGGAAGATGAAGAACATGTTAGTGATTTGTTGAAGTTGTAAAACTTATGCTATTCTATTTAGCTGCTATCACTAAACTATTTTGTTTGTGTGTGTCTATCTATATATTGTTTGAAAATAATAATAATAATAAGTGTGGTCATTATCTATTTGGTTTGGTTAAAATATATATATATATATATATATATTTAGGCTTTTATTTATTCTCTTACTTTTGTCATTGTTTATCTTATATATAATAGTTAGTGATTGATTTTTTGTATAATATAAAGTCATTAATTATTAAAATAAAATGTAAAAAACTTAATTATAGTGATTTAAAAATATGAAATATATTGGATCAGACCTTAAAAATTCACAAAAATTGATCAATATTTATTTTTAACCCAATAAATATGATCATGAAAAAAAAATATGCGTATCGGTAAGTTTTTTTCAAATTGTGTGAAAAATAAAAAAATTCACGATTCCGATTACCGCAACCGTTACACTATGGCCTTTACACCCCACAATCACAACCGCGTCACCGCCACCGTTACGGCGACCGCAACCGCTTTTCAGAACCTTGGTTGAGACTATTGAAGAATCTAAGCCTCTCATCATCTTCTAGAGAATTCGAAATTGTTCTTCAAGGATCTTCGAAGATATTCGAATTTTCCAACGACGTTCTTGAACCCTTTCTTACAATATGTAATGTGGTTGGTATTGGTACATGGTCCCATGTTGACGCATGGATTCACCAGTTAATGCATATGATAAATGTTTCCCATGTGAGCCGAATGAGGTGACACGTGGATTAGTCGACATCTTTGTGTCTTGCTAGCTCTCCCTTGAGTCAAGTCATGTTGTTCTCGATTTAGGCTGGCATACAAGGTTCCTTGGCCTTGAACATAGATGTATAACGACAATTTTCAATGGCATAGGCCACGATGCACTTGGCCACTTAGCCCAATTGAGTATCCCCCACCCAAGCACATTCCCCTTATGCCTCGAGGGGGATGTGCCTAGCCACGCGCATGATTTCTGGAGTCATGTTATTTGGTGCAGGCCTAAAGAGTCCCTCGAGGTTGATGTTTGTGTCCCTAGCCAGGCGCATGATTTCTGGAGTCATGTTATTTGGTGCTAAAACTGGGGGTTGGTTTAGCTACTTCTTGATGAAGGAACTCATCTCCCTTTGGGGGACTTCTGTCTTGGTTTTATGTAGAGAGAAATCTCCATGTTCCTTATCCACCCAGGATGCATGTCATGCTTCAGACACCTCTACACTTGAGGGCACACCACATATCCTTTGTGGCCTTTGACTCTATTGTTAGTTAAGGTTGTGTAGAGTGTCAAGCTAAGCGGAGGAGGCCACCTGTCCCCCATACTAACTTGGGTGCATAGCCTTGGCACATGGCACCGATTGGCCTCAATAGGCCTAACCTTGCTATATTTATTGAGGTCTCCATCTTCTTCATCTCCAACTAACATTTTCCTGTTTCAAAGTTTTAGTTTTTCCTCTCCAGACCTTCATTTGTTCTCCACTACCACCGCTCCCTCCCTTTCCTCTCCAAAGGCTATATTAAATCTCACCTAGCTCACCTCTATTTGATTTGGCACTACTTATGTGTTCTATACCCTACTTTCCATAGGTTCACTAACCAAGTCTCATTGTCCATGGTTGTTCATAGATATGTTGGACATATATAATCACCACATTGTTATGTACATATACATATATATTATTATAATTGTATATAGATATATCTTTATCTTTATATATGTACTTTTATATTTATATGTGGGTGTTTATTTTATCAATACAATTGCATTTGTACGCATAACTTACTATACAGATGCGATACAGACTCATATTTGAAAACCATTGGTAATATGTGATTTCTAAACTAATTGCATAAAGATAATATGAATTCACTAACAATATCGATTACCTATATTACATGGACTTTTCTAAATTTGTCAAGTACCCGTGTCAGATACTTGACACTTGGGTTAGGGTATGGATTATGCGCTGAAGATGTCTAGTTTGGCGTGCACCAAATAAAAATATGTTAGTAATAAAGTTTGCTGTGAAACTATGCATAAGATTCTCATTACATGCTTAAAAAAAATCCATGTTCGTTTGTAAAGCCATTTTACACTAAATCAATGGAAAAGAGTTTCTAAAAAATATAAAATTTAGCCAGGCCTTGGTGTCCTTGGGCATAAGAATTAAATGAATCCAACACTTAGTTACATACCTACACCCGACACCCATACCCAAGTTCATATGACATAGTCGATTACTTTTATCTAATTATAGAGTTGTTCTAAATTATAGCATGTGTTAGGAGGTTTGCATTTTTTTTATGATAAACTTCTATGTACGTCTCTTCGCAGAAAGAAATTGCTTTGTACACTGCTTCAAAGATCAGCAGTGAAATTTTGTCTGGTTCACATCAATGGAGATATGAACCGCTCTTTAAGGTAAATATCGGGTGAAGATCTACCTTTTTTAATGTTGCTAATCTGGTCTTCTTTGACTACATTTTCTTACTATTTCATGCTTCAACTTTAGAGTAGTTACATTTCTATATTTATAAATGTGCTGGAATAATTAAAGTTCAATTTTGATTTGTAAGGGTGATTGTCAATGATTGCTTGTTTAAAATTTTCAATTTTATGTCATTGGCAATTTTGATGCAGCCTAGGTAAGAGAAAAAAATGGTACCACTTGAGTGGAGAACATTATGAGAATTTTTTTTTGAGCAGTCATACAATCACCAACAATTATATCGTTATGATAATGGTTCAACTTGATTGTCTATAGTTTTTTATGAGAATATGAAGAGACTTTACCCTTGTTATGCAGTCATACCACAACCTATATAATTGTTAATTAGATGGGAAACTTACACAAAAAGGACAGGCAAACCAAAAACGTTAGTAAATGGAACAATAGTCCATTACAAATCAAAAGGATATTCAACCAAAAAGGACATTTTCAGCACATGAACCAAGATCAGTGTAGCTGTACCCTGTAGAACAGACTGCTACAAGTCAAAAGTAGTGCAATAGGTCGTGTAGAGAGTAGCACAGGCTTCCAATTCCCCAAGTACAATGATGGTGAAGTTAGAGAATGAAGAGAATTAGGCAAAAGGAAGAGAAGAAACAGAAAAGCAAGCTATGAGTGGGTAAAATGGAGAGGAGAAGAGAACCAGATAGGAGAAAGAAGAAAAACAAATAATTGAATTGCAGAGGGCAGGAAAGTAAGATAGTAGAGAAAGAAGTGGAAAAGACTGACAGAGAACAGAGCTGGTGCGGGGAAGGGAAAGCAGCAGGAGGAGATGAGAGAAAACAAAGAGTTAGAGACAGCAGGAAAGAGAATCAGCAGTAGCAAAGAAGAAAAGTTGCAGCAGAGTGGAGGAAGAAAAGAAACAGAGATGGAGAGGGGAGCATTCCAGCCGTCTGGAGCTTGTTGCAATCAGCCAGCCAATCCTTGCAAAATATTCTAGAACTAGGTTTTATATGAGTAACTTACGACTCAACCCTAGCTACCCTTTGCTTAGGTGTTGAGCTCCTATTGTTCCATCCACAATCCACTTAAGTGGTCATGTGACCATTAAGTTGTTGTAGACGCTCCCCCCACCCAACAAAAAAAAAAAAAAAAGAAGAAGAAAATTTGCTGATGTGTTTTTTTTTTTTTTTGGTTGTAACTTTGAACAAGTGCTCTTATTTCATTTGTTTAATCTTTTTCTGCAGGAGTATTGGTGCAAAAGGCTGCACCCCAAAAATGTGTGTGAAAAGGTTTACAGGCAACCCCCATTGCGTGAATCTCTGAAGAAGGGTAAGCTGAGAAAGCAAGATATTTCTTCCACAAAGCAGAAGACTGCTGTAATACTAATACGGGCTGCAGACTTGATAGGAAAGAAGATCCAGTATAGTTGCTCTGGTTTCTTGCCCAATAAGCGTCAGGTGATTTATATGAAGATTATCTGTGTTCTAGTTATTATTACTGGCTCTTATAGTTTTTCTTTTCCTGCTTTTCCATTCCATTCTCATTATATGTTCTTTTGTTTCTATGTTTGGATGCTCATCATAATTGAACATGTCATTTCTTGAAAATTATAGCTTCTTGATTCCTTCATTTTAGTTGCTGACATCCATGAAATGGCCCCTTCAGTATCAGCTTATGGGAAGTGATTGGTTTCAAACTTTGGTGATCTCCCATTTTGGGATTGTCTTTTATGGAGGAGCCCTATCAATTTGATTCGAATGGACTAATCCATCACTAAGGCATATTTTATATAATCTAGATCTGTTTAGACTTTAAATTCATGGAGTTAAATGCAGATTGAAATCAGTAAATTCAAGGGTAGAGAGTATTTCCTTTAGATTAGTAACTGCTTAAATTGGAAACTGCAAATGTGTTTGCATGCTGGAAGACTAATGCCAAGTGAAGTTTTCACTCTAGTAGTCTCCTCAACTTATGAGGTTTGCAACTTGGCATTTATGGATGTGAACCTTTCTTGTATTATTGCATGGGGACTGCTGGCCTCATTTTGATTATCCATTTCCTTTAGTAAAGCTATTTCCTTGTGGAAAGAAGTTCCCCTTTTATGAACAATCTTACCGCCACCGTGATGATTCCAGAAGAGCTCTTAATTGATGAGCAGACAGGGAAAACACCCTTTCCACTTCCCCTTCATAGTTCTACATCCTCTTCCCCTTTACGGCTCTCCCCCTCTCTCCTTTTCTGGAATGACCAAACAAATAAAATTTCTTTACTGTGATGGTAACTTTAGTCCTCCTTTAATAAATTCCTTCTCTCTGCTTTACTATACTCTCTCTCTCTCATTTTAAATTGAACTGTTTCATCTATTGATTATATATCTAATTTGACATGTACCAGCATCGTATGGCGGGATTAGCTGCTATTGAGATCGCACAGAAGGTCTCAAAGGCATGGCGTTCTTTGCAAGCAGAATGGAAATCCCCTAATAGAAGCACATCAAAACATGGCAAGAGAGCGCGGAGAAAGGAAAAAATCAATATTCTCAGCCAGAATAGAGGTGGTGCTTGTTGTAGTACCAGCAGTTCCTCAGAACCATCAACTTCATATGGGATTGTTGAAGATAGATCTTCAGGCCGTCCTATGATGTCGTGGCATGATGTTTATTCGTTGGCTGTAAAGTGGAGACAGATCTCTGAACCCTGTGACCCAGTTGTGTGGGTTAACAAGTTAAGGTAATCCATCTTGATTTTGTTTCTGCGAGGCAGTTGGATGGTGTTTGTGAGTCAGTATGCCTAGAACAGACAATTAATAGGATGCCTGCCACATGGCATGGCATGGCATGGGTACCAGCAATAGCAGAAAAATTTCAAGGGTGGGTGGGTATGGACACTGGCAATACATAGGTTCATTTCCTTGTATATGTATGTATAATCTAATTTTTGATTAATTTATGTTAAATATTTTTATGATTTGGAAGTTAAAGTTCAAATATCATGTTACGTTATTATATTATGCACTGGTATTACTGGTACCATCATTATTTTTTCCCCTTGTTATAATTATTATTTACTGATTTCTTAAGAAAGGTCTTGCTTGGACTGTGTTGGATGAGTGGAATATTTATTAGGGGTGTCCGATTCAATTTTGAAGCGGCATAGCTTTCCTTTTTTGGATTTAAGTGAAAATGGCTATGATCCCATTTAAGTAGTAGTGCTATATAATTGTTTGTACTCAATGTTATGTATGACATTCGTACTCTGTTTTTCCTTTGTCCAGTAATCCTTTCCTGTGAAGCGTGGATGTTTCTTAGGATGATCCACGCCCACATAAATCTGAGATTTTGTTGAACATAACACACTTTTAATATTTTAAAATTTATCTAGCATGACCCTTGCATACAACTTTATTCGAAAACTTTATACCCAATAACTTGGTGTTGGTATCCATTTTCTCCTGTTGGTTTAGTCAACCTGAATCATAATACACATGGTTACCCAATTGTCACCAGAACAGCTCTGGCTAAAGCAATCATGGCTTTTACTAAAGCAATATACAGCTATTCAATGCCCCAAAAAATGTCTCATTGCTTCAGAAAAAGCCAGCATTGCCTCCACAATTATCAGTATCCATTTTCTTTTTGGTTTTTTATTTTTGATTATTTGAGACATCCCTGGGTATCTTCTGCACCAGTTATGACTCCCTAGGGTACGATTTTTGCTATTTTGTAGTGTAGTTTTATTTTGTCTTTATCCTCTTGAATTTTCAAATCAGAAGTCTTATCGTTGCTTATTATGATTGTTGATCTGAGTGTGGTGTTTCTTCCATTTAGTGAGGAGTTCAATTCTGGATTTGGGTCTCATACACCACTTATTCTTGGGCAAGCAAAAGTTGTTCGCTATTTTCCAAATTTTCAAAGGTGACAAGCATGCTTTCTTTTATTCTCAAGCTGAACTCCAAAAAAAGAAACGAAAAAAGCCTCATTTTGTTGATGGTGTGCAGAGCATTAGGCATTGCAAGGTCTATCATTAAGGACAAAATGTTTGTGTACAACAGGGGAGACAATGCCATTGATCTTTCTGACGATGGGAAATTGCAAGATGTGAGTTATTTTGTTTTCAGATGCAGGGTATGTTTGGTTTGAGTTTGGGAGATGAGTTTTAGAGATAAAAAGTATGAAAAGTTGTTTGGTTTGGTTTTTTTCAAAAGATGTTTTGGAAAATTATTTTGAGAGAGAGTTTTGGAAAAAGTGATTGATTTGATGTGTATGAGAGAGAGATTTGTTTGGAAAACTTGTAAACCAAACAAGTTTTGGGAAAATTTGTTTGGTTTGATTACTTTTGAAAACTTATTTGTAGAGAATTTTTCCCAAAAATTTTTGGGAAACACAAACCAAACAAGGCCGCAATCTTTTCTTCTCTCGGTTGCTGCTTTTTGTACTGCATGAGGGCATTACTCTTATGGTTGATAGACTCATCCTGATTATCCTATGTTTTTCCACTTCTATAAATAAAAAATAACTTTTGTATTTTAAAATATAACTGCAGATTATGAATGCAGACTCCTGCTCTGATCTTTACAGAGTTGTTGGTGAGGACTTCTGGTTGGCTACTTGGTGCAACAGTACAGCATTTGAGGGGTAACCAAGCCTATAGAGTTTTGGTCCTATCATTTATATTATCATGTTTGCTGACCTTGCAAGTTATTAGATAAAGCAAATGTCTTTAGCATTTGAATGTGTAAACTCAATTCTTTATTTTTTGTACGCGTTTTAGGAAACGGCTTGAAGGAACAAGGATCACTCTAGCGAAAATGTAACTCATAATTTCATTCCATTGTTCCAAATTTTATGTTCTTTTCCCCTCTTTTTTCCTTTGTATTGATTATAGATCAATTACATAATCGTTTATTGATTTGGGTTCATCATGTGATTCCTCCAGGGGAGAACATGGATTTGACTTTCTCATTAGAACACCTTGCACCCCTTCTAGATGGGATGATTTTGATGCAGAAATGACAGCAGCATGGGAAGTAAGTCACTCTAGACTCATCCAATGGCTCTTTTTTTAGCCAATTTACATATTAAGGCTGAAATTCAGACTCTGAAATTAGTTTTTGACCACGCCTAGACGCAAGGTTCTAAAAAACGGTTGCGGTCACCGTAACGGTGGCGGTGGCGCGGTTGCGGTTGCGGGGTGTAAAGGTCGTAGTGTAACGGTTGTGGTAACCGGAACCATGAATTTTTTTATTTTTCGCACAATTTGAAACAAACTTACCGATACGCATAGTTTTTTTCCATGATCATATTTATTGGGTTAAAAATAAATATTGATCAATTTTTGTAAATTTTTAAGTATGATTCAATATATTTCATATTTTTAAATCACTATAAACTGAGTTTTTTACATTTTATTTTAATAATTAATGACTTTATATTATACAAAAAATAAATCTACGACAGCCGATACAGCCGACACACCTGTGAATCTCAGGGGTGTCATAACGGTGTAGAGGACACTGGATGGCGGTGTCAGACCGATGTAGAAGACAGTTTTATGGGGTCCATGTCGGAACCGTTGTAGAAGACAGTTTATGGGGTCATGTCGGACCGTTGTAGAAGACAGTTTATGGGGTCATGTCGGACCGTTGTAGAAGACAGTTTAGCGGAGTCTTGTCGGACCCCTTGTAAGAAACTAACCGGAATCAATGTCGGGACAGTTTACAGAGTCTTGTCGGCCCTTGTAGAAACTAACCGGAATCTATGTCGGGACAGTTTACAGAGTCTTGTCGGACCCATAAAAGGAGCTAACCGGAATCAATGTCGGGACAGTTTTACAGAGTCTTGGTCGGACCCCTGAAAAAGTTGCACCCTCAAAAGGTGTGCCCAAATTTGTCAAAAAGGCGTGCCATCAAAAGGCGTGTCCACTTTATCAAAAAGATGTGCCATGAAAAGGCGTGCCAGTGTGTCGGGCGTCAAGAGGCGCGCGATGCGCGTGGCTGCCTTGGCCTATATAACCAAGACGAAGGCAGAGGCTGAGGCAGAGAAACTGAGAAAAACCTCTGAAAAAAAAACTCTTCTTCGTTTGCTGAGAGAGACAGTCTGTAACACTCTGTTCCCAGAAAAATGGCCTCGTCCCTCGTCTTCCGTGGACTGCTCACCCTCTTCCCGACCTCAACGAGTCAACAAGAGAGAGAACTGGAGCGGTGGCACTGGAACCTCAACCGAAGTGCCCCGGAGTTTACTCCGATGAACTTTTCCGATGCGGTCGGTGGAGCAAAAGAATGGCAGTGCAGTTCGGATGTGGAGGCCAATCAGTATACTTTGAAGGCATGTGTGGAAAAGCATGACGGCGGTCAACAAAACTTGTCGAACCGGCTGCAGAGTAGGACAAATGAGGTGCAGCATTTAAACTCCAGCTGGCTCTGCTCCAACGCAATGTATAAGGATACGCGAGCAGAGAATAAGCGTGCTAAGGGCAGAAAACAAGGAGCTGAAGCGGAAGGCCACCGTGATGGTCCGATTTGGAGGGCCGCCATATTACTGCAGTGGAGGAGCAGGCAGGAGGCAACTTGCGTGGTGGCCTAGGAAGCACGGAGGCAACACCGTCAGGCCCGCTCAGGACGGAGGCAAGAAGAAGAGACCTGCAGCAGAGTAGAGAAGAAAAATCCCACTGTGGGGGTGTGGGTGTGTGTGTTTGTATTTTTTTTTTTGTTTTTTGTTTTTTGTTTTTTTTTTTTTGGTGTAAAAATGGTGATCGGGGTTGATCCCTAATATAAATAAACAAAGTGTTGTGGCAAATCTGT